CCAATTTAAGCGAAAGTAAAACTATCCGCAACGGTTCAAATTAACTTGCAGCCGTCGTTTTAGATTTAATTTGCATAATTTTTGCCACAAATGTGGTACACTAAATTTGTAAATTCCGTATTATAATTGCACGAGACTTTTTTTATCTATTAGAAGTCGAAGAGATGGTCAATTTGTTGTTGCGTAGTAAACTGTTCATTCCTTATATGTATGATTCACATGGTGTAATTATACATGAAACCATTTTGATGCCATTGATTGATAACCTGCCAAGTTTTAGGTTGAGCCACATTTCTCCATGTGGGAGCATCTGAGAAAGATGACGTGAACCTATTCATTGCTTGCCAACTTCAATCCTCATAATTACAGCCACACATTAAATAAAGTTGCCAATGCAGGAAATGAAGAAAATATGCCAATAAATTGTGGTTTCCACAAGGCGAGAAAGTATAAATGAAAATATGAGGAACTGCTCGAAATGTAAACAAGTAACTGCGGAACTTAAGACTTATTCAAATGGTATAAGATTTATACCAAAATTACAGAGATGTTAGAAAAGCAAATAAGAGGTATTGAAACAAATCATATAGAGGTTACGTCAATGTATTATTTCAAAGAACCTCGCAATTTCAAAGTCTCATATTTTATTTAAACAATCATGTTGATTTAGTTAATGATTATAAAATAATCTATTGATAGGCATTTCTAAAACCTAATGTTTTAAATTATTTGCTATGATGAGCTCTGTTATCATTGAAAAAATTATTGCAAAAATGTGTTATTAAAAGGTTTAAGCAGTATGCCATATTCTATCGATTAAATTTGTAGCGAATTTGATATTTCTGTTGCTCCTTGAGGGCAATTTAAGATGATTCATGAAACGACGATGGCAAGCATAAAAAGCGTTTTGAAGTCAAACTTTGCATTTTTGAGAACTCAATTTTAAAGCGAATTTTAAAATGGAGCGTAGGCGAGGAGTTTCATATGTGAGGTTTTAATCTAATTGGACTACCAAAGAAGCGAATATTTTTAAACAGGCTATTAAAACGTAGCTTCTTAAACGAGCATTTGTTTACAATACAAAAACATATATAGTTATATATTTATCATTAGTTCTCTAGTTGGGTTTAGGCTCCAAAGAGGGGATTTATTTTAAAGTTGGCTGTGGCGTTGCCAATAAACATTTGCTTTCGAAAATCCAGAACAGATAAATTTAATTGTAGAAGTTTTAGGTGAATAAAATGGACAAAGATGCTTGCGAAATTATTTTGTCATATTTGGCAGTTAATTTAAGCGTGACTGCACGCAGGAATATCAGGCTTTAAAAGTTGACTTTATTCGGTCGCATCAAGTCTTTTAAAAATAGTTATTTGAAATTCGGTTGGAAAATTATTTATAATCGATATTTCATCCTTGTGATCGCATTAATTTAAATTTATGAAATACATTATCGTTCTCGTTGCAATCAATTTTCTCTTTCCCTGCTAATCAATATTTGCGTTGGTGCTGATGAAATTTCCAATTAGATGTTTTCTTCATATCCGCAAAATTATGACGACTTCTTAAACTTGACATGTCAAACCCTCCTACTAAAAGGAGGTGCAAATTGTTGATGAAGGAACCAAATGAAGTTGACATCAGACATGGAAGCAGGTAGTGAAGACAGCTAACCATATCCTTCTCACTATGTTCTATGAATGAATGAATGTATGAATAAAAAATCTATTTCCATTATGCAAATTAAAGCCTGTGCATATTTATTTGGAAACCTTTAACATTGGACCAATTTATAAATAATAAATAAAATGTTTTAAAGTTTCTATGAATTAAAGTTTTATTGGCAAATAACGTAGCATGGTCACATTTATAGAAATTTCAATTGAAATTGAGTAAATTGACAACTTTCAGAAAATATCTTAATGATTAAATTTAGCCGATGTAAACCACCAACATTCAGATACAACTTGTATTGAAAGCCTTACTCATCAATCTAATTAATATTGGAAATTGATTTCATGTGCACTGAGATAAATCACGGATGGACAAGCGTGCTACTTAGCCACTTAAGTAGGTTCCGTTTATTCACGAAGCGTTTTACGTAAAAAAACATTTCTTCACAGCTTGTAATAGCACATCATTCCGGCTATATACTGGTGATTAAAACGCCATCATTCAATTTCGTCATTAACATGGATGAGATATTGACGGTACTGATTCCCCTTCGAAGTTCAAGTAATCATTTAAATGAGCTAAATGCGGTTGATTTATTTCGTTTAGAAACACGGGTTTAAAGATTTTCCGGCATGCAGCCTTAATACATTTGGCTGCAAATATCAGTCAAAAAATAAAATCGTCTTATATCGTTTGAATGATCGTTTGTGCTACATTTTTCTGGAAATATAACAGATATTCATCAAATCGTATTCAATGAGTCATTATATTAGAATTATGGACTTCAAGATAAATTTGTTTTGTCAACCTAAAGCGCATTCACAATGAACGATACAATCTCTAAAGTGGTACGCGATAGATTTACCTTCACGTGGTACACCCTGGGCAACGTATGCTCATACGACCAAAAGTATATTAACTGGCAGTTGACTTCTCACCTCAAACTACCATCCCCTCACTCTATTCCATATTCGACTATTTCCACAGTACTCACCCCACCTTTGTTCTACCTCTTTGTTTGTCTCTTGTATCTTTAAAACACTATTCTGTTCCCCTCGCCATCTCGACTTTTTCAATTTGATGTTCCTTCCTCTCTGCGAAGCCTGAAGTCATCTAACGGGCTAAAGATAACCATCAAGACGCCTGTCATTTGATAATTTAAAATAAAATGTCTAAATGTAACATGATATGTTCCATTTCTAGTAGCGTGACAAAGAATTTGCGTTTGGATTCATATTTAACCCATTTCTATGCTCGCAGTTAACCGCACTATCTGAAGTAATCATAATATTTAAGTATGCTAATTAGCAGTGAAATTGAATTTTTCGTCAACAACTATTTACCACTTTAATTGTCTGAATTCCACACATTATTAGCGAAAATACGCTGTTTAAATTTCCATCAAATTTTGCAGTTTCTCAGAGCAATACAACATTATTGGCTGAATAAACATCCTGTAAGTGGTGTTTAGAGTTGAGCGTGCTCATCCCCATACGCGACCAGCAAGACACTTCAGTACATTCGGTCTATTGGAGACTCGTTCTGCTATTTTAGCAATGTGACTTTAACATGTTGGCTTTGTGTCAAACGTCATTCCGAGATAAGTGAACTCGTTGGATTTTTCTAGGGTAGTAGTATCCTTGAACCTTAGAAGTGAGTTTATGCTGTGGCGGGCTAAAGAAAATGTTTTGACCGCATTTTTCGAGGTGTTGAAAACCATTCCTCTGTTGTCGCTCCTGTTTGCTAAACATTTAAGTGCATAATTTAGAACACTAACTGTATTCTCCGGAGAGCTTTTCTAAGGGAGTAGAATACCATAGAACAAGATCATCTGCATAAATTAAGCACTTGAAAAGAAAAAGAAGTAAAAGAATACCTCACATCACATTACGATCTAATTAAGAATGTGGGCTTGGAGCAAGACATATGCGAAATAATCAGATCAAATGTTTTGAAATGTCAAAACCAATTAAAGATATACGCAGTGTATAATCCACCCCTGAATAGGCCAAACTTTCATCGTCTGAAAATCGCACACCAAACGGAGGTATTAGGAGACTTTAACACCCATTCAACCAGATGGAGCTATAAGAATATGAACATAGTTGGAAAGGAAATAGAATACATGCTTAACAGCAGCCATCTAGAACTTATTCATAGCAATGAGGCTTCTGCTACTTATCAGCACTACAATGGAACCAGAACAACCCTTGACATACTCCTGGCTTCAAGCCACATCAGTGAGCCTAAGCACTTAAAAATAATTGACGATCCTGGTTCTGGTCAGCAACCAGTCACTGCTAATATTGCCATCGACTGCCAAAGCATGACAAGGAAAGTATCAACTTAGTAATCATGGAACTTCAAGAAGGCTGTCTTGTCTAGATTCACACAGCTTTTTAGACAATGAACTTCACGCAAGTCTCCTCAACTTCAACCAACATCCTGACAAATTTTGCAACGAAATCACAAATATCAAGGTAAGAGGTGTCTTATCTGTGTATGCGAGTCATGTGCAATGGGCTCTGAGGCGTGATAATGTAAAACACGCATTTTCACTTCCAGAAAAGCAACAACTTGCCCTCGCGTGTGGGTTGAATTTCCTCCTATGCCTACTGTCTCATGATGATATTCTATCTCCAACAGAAAGGCTACCTGCCCTGCCTCCAGACAGTAAGAACCATTGAAATTGACCACAACCTTCTTCACTTTCCATCTATTCACACATCTATTCACCCACCCCACCCCACCCCACCCCCACCTGTCAATCTATCCATCTAGAGTAAATTGGTGTGCTTTCACAATCACTTTATCGCTCTTGTAGGTCTATGTTGGCGATACAAAGCCGATAATTCGCGAACACGATGACTGTAAATTTTGGCTTCAGACTGACAGGGATGTTGTCGTAAGTCATCATTCCTCCTAATATAGCTTTCCAATCGCTTCTTATAGGCATTCCACCACCGACACCACCACCACCACTAACATCACAACCTCGTACTTACTTGCTTCCTTACTTACTTACTTACTTACACAATCACTTGCTCACTTACCTGTTTACTTACTTACTTAGAAGAGTACGTGGAAAGCCTCCACTGAGTGGAAACCAGTGTCACACCTATGGCTGAACTTTCTCCATCTCTACCTTTTCGAGTTCGATTACCTCAAACACAATGTCGCTATTGATTCGTTGAACCACGTGGAGAACACCAGGCCCCCGCAGTCATACTTATAATGGATAAGAATTGGGGTGAAATGTGCAAAATATTTGTGGCTGGTTGTTTTCTGATTTCAAATCTTGCCTTGTGGACCCCTTTGATACTTCTCACATGTTGACGCTTCTCAACAAAATCTGGGAGACCGGTCTCCTACCTACCCAAAGAAAAGTTGCCATAGTAAAACAAGTACTGAAAAAGGGCAAGGGCCCTAGCAACTTTGACAAATATAGGCACATCTCCCTCACAAGCGTGCTGGCTAACCATATGAAAACAATAGTTAACAGGTGGCTGACTTGGTTCCTTGAGACTAACAATATACTTAGGAGTGAACAAGCAGGTTTTAGTCCGCAAAGATCAACTAACAAACAAGTAGCCACTTTCTCCCAACACATCAAAGATACCCTTGATGCAAGAAATATCTTTACGCCTGTATTCGTCGATTTCAAGGCAGCATATGACTTAGTATGGAAAGAGAAGCAAATTCTAAAATTTGCAAAGATTGGTATTAAGCATAACATGCCAAACTGGATAAAAGAAATCATTGGACAAAGATCATTAAACACCACTTACAAGATGTTCATTCAGCCAATAATATTTTATTGCTGTGAACCACTCATTACTCCCACTGAGGTAACTCTCAAACCATTCGAGAAGGCACACAACCATGTAAAACGACTAATTACTGGAAAGATAAAATCAACACCCATTGACGCAATGCTCATAGTTACAGGAAGCACCACAATATGCTCCCGTATCAAAGAAAAGGCCCTGATCCTGTATGAGAAGCTACGAGCATTCCCATGGATAAGGTCTTAAGAACCTATGAGAATAGACCAAGACATCTGAAAACGCAATCCGGTCTAATACAAAAAGCCATAGAACTGAAGCAAGCATTGCAAATCGATGGCAAACCAAAAAACCTCCCTCTACCCATGAACGAATTGGCAGACACTGATGTAGTGTGTTGTACCCAACTGCTTGACCGCTTCAGGAAATTTTTTAAGGGCAGTTTAATTAAATTGAAGCATAATTAACATTGTTGACAAAGCAAAATTGAACAGCGCTGAAATAAATGAATGATTTAAATGCATTAATTAATTTTTAAATAATTGGAGTAGCATTCTTTTCCAATATATGTTTAAATATATATTTATTTATCAATTCATTGATTAATCTATTCCCATAATTTGCTCAGTCTCGTGTATAACTCAATCCTACTTAATTGGTGATGATTCGATTATTAATTTTAATTTAAATGAATGCAAAAATAGCTATGAACGTAATTGCTGAAAACAAAATTAGCATCTTTCTTTCTCTTAAAATTTATCCAAAACAACAATGATTGTCACGCAGTTCACTTTATCTATTAATAATATTTAAAAACTAATTTGTGTTTTCTTCGATGAGACATCATAATTTATTGCCATATTATTATTTTGTCTCATTTATTGCTGGCGACATTATGGGAAATAAATAACCTGCGAAAATATAATATTCTCTTTTAGTTTTAAAAAAAGACAGAAAATGTCAGATTCGTAATGTGTGGTTTTGAGTCAAATTTGAGTGTCGTTTGTTGAGATGATCAGACTTTTAATATTTGGTTTCACCAATTTTTCGTCGTCTTGAGCTCACCGCAGGCACACTGACTTAGTGCACTTCGTGAACCTTGAAAACTAAAATAGTGCATTCCGCCACATACACACACATATATATATATATATATTTCACGGCAATAGATTTAGAGAACGGCAGCGACATTGAGAAAAACAATCGATGAATAAGTTATTATAGATAATAATTACGGCTACTGTGTTTTGGAGTTTTTCACGGTCTTTCCAGCAATTTCTTCGTTTGTTTCGTGTATTACATGAAACAACGAGATTAGATTTTCAAGAACGGGTCAACGCGGACTCGCGTTCAAAATTGCTTAATAATGCAGTTGCAATAGTCTACGCTGCATTCCATCATGTCTCAATGCAGTTGCAATAGTCTACGCTGCATTCCATCATGTCTATTCGTTGACAAATCCTTCGAAATTTTCATCAGAAGAGTTATTGACTTTATGTTTGGGTACTGAAACTCAAAATCGCAATGAGTCACTAAACTCGCTGATATGGTCTTTCGCTCCAAAGCATATCCATTTCGGGTCTCAGATCATTGAAATTGCAACATTTATTGCTGTGTGTATTTCTAATGAAGGCTTTTTACCGATATCTGTTTTTTGGAATTCGATACCCACGATTTCACAGATTCAGTCCAACCGATTTACTTGAAATTTTAAAAGAGTGTTTTTAGGGACTTATCTTTGTCCGGAACTACGGACATCTCCAGATTATCATTTATACCGTTTTAAAAAATCAAAGAATGTTCAAAAAGTAGTACAACATTTTTTTTCTTTAGGCAGTCACCATTTTGTAAAAATATTTCTGTAAATTTGCCGTAGTTCCAGACATATTAAAATAATCGTAGATTAATAATCTTTTTTATTTTTTTCATTTCAGATTGCTGGGAGAGTTAAAATCGTGGGTATGGTCACGCGGCATATTTTTAAGACGCCCCATTCCATCGGCTGTTAACTAACGAGGATTAACATCTTTATTTTTTTGCATGCTTCTAATGTGATTTAATAATGTAAAAAATTTAAAATAAAAAATTTTGCTTATTTTTTGCAGCACTTTAAAAGGATAAATGAACTATTACATAATGATTACTATATTTAAACAAATTAGCTTTTAAATATTTTTAAATTGGTTTTAATTTCTTTACTAGATATATTGAAATAAGTGACAATTATTGTTGTGATGGCTAAATTTTAAGTAAAAAGAAGACAGAAATTTTGTTTTCAACAATTACATTCATAGACACGTGTATATTAAAGTTAGATTAATAATCGACTCATCATTCTTTCCAATCAAGCAAGTTGGATCAAAGAGTCTAGATAACCACTTAAGATGGATCAATTTTTTGGCGAGAATGGGCAAATAGTTTGAATAGATGAATTTATGAAATTGATAAATAAATAAATAAATACATTAATATTGAAAAAAAGCCGCCGCAATAAGTTAAAAATAAAATATTGCATTTCCATTATTCATTGCATTTCAATGTGATTCAAGCTAGCAACGCAATTTTGTTTAATAGAGAAAGCCATGGAACTGAAGAAAGCATTACAAATCAAAGACAAACCAAAAGACTTACCTATACCTGTTAACCCATTAGCAGACTTTGATGTTGAGAGTTACAACCAACTGCTTGACCACTTCAAAAAAACAAACAACTCTCCAAAACAAATCGGCCCACTGGCTCTTGAGACAATCATTGTCAACTATCCTGCAGATCAATGGCTCGAGGTCTTCACCGATAGTCATACATAGAAAACCAAGTTAACCTTAAACGGAAGCAAAGTGCTACACAAAACAGCTAAGATATCATAATGTAAAAACTCTATCCGTTGATGAAGAAAAAACAAAACAGTGGTCCTAGAGTGGATTCCCGATCATTGAGCTTGCTGACTCACTTGCTAAGAAAGGGACAAAAATGTTTCAAGGCATAGACCGGCCGATGTTTTCCACACAATGAAGACCTTAATCAGGTGAGAATTCAAGACCTCAATGTGCAACAAACCTAAAGCTTGAACAAAGGAGAAAGAGTAGCTATTGGCACTCTCTGGCATAACCAACTGGCCAAGAATTGAAGCCGTTGCTGAGTTTAGACTCGATTGTTTGTCACAGCACCTTCATAGATTAGGAGAAAACACTCAATTAGCATGTACCTCTATGTACCCTTACAGGGGGAAATTTAGAAGACCAATCAGATTCGATGTCCAATTATAAAGATAATGACGAAAAACAGAGATACTGGGAAAACAGAAGTCAGCTAATAAACGGATATATATGTACCTTCTTACCCATGGGGAAAGCTGAAATCAACTGAGGGGCTAATGATAAATATCATAAAAGCCTGAAATTTGAAATAATAATAATATTTTTCGTTTCATTATTATGCTTTGAAATTTTTTGTTGTTACCAAACCAGACCCAGTAACGAAGGGAATTCTGAAGCATATACAAAATGCCCTTCCACTACTTATTCATTTAAGTATAAATGAATATCAAATGATTAAAAATATACCCAATACCCCCTTTGTGATTCAAATGGCAAAATTTTGAAGCGATGCTTGGGTATTGATAAATCGATTAAAATATTAAATTAGCTTACTATTTTGACAAATATTGACTAGCTCAAATAGCACATTATATTTCAAGTCATGATTTTAGGAGCATGATTGTTGGTGGCATCAGTTTTTTTGATATTCTTCATTGAGTCTCAGGAGTGCAGCCTTGAATTTAATCGGCTGCCGAATAGTCAACCAATGAAGTGCTGTCACTCAAAGGCATTATGCGGGTTTAAGATGGTTTCACTTGAAGCTGTTTGTATGTGATTTTCATTTCAATGACTACATGAGATGGGTTTCAATAGTGTTAGAGAATTCCAACTTCTTATTTCAAAGGCATTTTCTTGAATAATCAATTATTCCACTTGACACGAGTAAAAAAAAGAAAGCTTGAGAAGAATCTTTTACGCTTAGTGTGTGAAAGTGTTTAAAATAAGTCGGGTCATTTAATTAAATTAAGATGACCTCGGCCAATCTAACTGCTCATCATTACATGGGAACATTTATTTATTTATATCAAATGGCAATCGTTTTGTTGGTTATCATTAACCATTTAGTTCACTTCAGGATTCACAGAGGAGAGAGACCGTCAAAGTGAGAAAAATTCAAGATGGGAGCAGAAAAGATATTCAAAGATGTAAAAGAGACAGAAAAAAGGGTAGAAAAAAGTTGAGGTGAGTTCTGTGGAAGTAGTTGAATATGACATACAGTGGTTGATGGTAATTTGAAGTCAAAATTCAACTACCGGTTTATAGACATTTTTGCCGTATGAGTATACGTTGCTCAAGGTGCCACAAGTGAAGTTAAGTCCATCGCGCACCTAATGGAAAAAGACCTAATGTAGAGAATATTAGTCAACGTTCACTTTATTTCTAAAGTTCTCAACGTAAGAAGAATATTAACCTTGTCTGATGGATAAACACGATTATATCATTACACTTAGTTGAGTGAAGGATGCGTTAGAAGGCAGCAGTAGAAGGTAGAAGTTTCTATTTAAAATTGCAAAAATTTAAGCAACATTCTTGAATTGAAATTGTCCAGCCCAATGCTGTCATCCAACAGTTGCACTATTATGTCTGCCTTAAGTGTCAACTTTAGATGTGTGATCCCCTTATTAAGGGCATTCATCTTGTGGTGTCAAAATGCCCAAATTAAGGGAAAGAAGCTTTTACTCATGGTATACCTATAACCGGATTGCATATTGTTACTGAATTTTCGAGCAAAAGTTTAGCGCACATTGAGGCTTTCAGTGAAATTACAGTTTTTGAATTGCATTGTCTTTTGTACATTAAAAAACACAGTTGCCTAATTTGGAGCTCGGTTTAGTGATTTGATGATAATCGTGTAAACAGTTGTAGGCATCGCACACCTTCTTGCCATCAGTTTGCAAAATCATTGAGCGAAGTCCACAACTTTGTCCAAATCATGGAAAAGGTGTTGTTTCATGAATCTAATGTTAAAATAAATTAAATATTGCATTTATACTTTTAGAATATTTTCCTTCTTATCGACTACGCCCTTGGAGATCCAAATACATTTCAACATTATGATTATAATCATAAGTATTTTCTGTTAATTAACCTTGAATTTCAATAGTACTTACAATTACGGAGTAGCAAACTTCAAGTCTTGGAAAAATCTGA